CTGGACAAAGCGATTTTTAGACGGAGGTTCCACCAAAAACCGGTTTCAACCAGCTTCTAAGGGATACTCCTTCCAAATCAATAAATTGCATTTTTCGTCCATTTTTTTGGACATCTAACATGAATTTTCTGATAATATTTTACACCGGAAAATTTAAAAGCGAAGGACCAATTTAACAAACCCAAATGAATCTACGGTACGTGAAATTACTCTGAAGTTAAGTTAAGTTAACCGAAGCTAGCCGACTGCGAACGATTTTGAGGGCACATTCACTGATTTTATATGTTCCTGAAGTGGGAGAGGATGTCTCCGATGAGCAAAGATAACAATAATGTGAGTCATTATTATAGGGGAATAATAGCTTGTGGGGTTAGAGCCGGTTTAGACGGCACTAATCCATGAAGAACTGACAGCCACTGTTTTCTCCCGATTCAAAACCCATGACTTGAAAAGTGTTCTTTTCGAGCACGATTCGACCCACTGCAAGAAAATCACCAGCACAATCTAACCCAATACTGTAGTTTGTCCCGGTGTAGACGGCACAGCTAATTTCCAAAAGGATGCATCCCAGGAGTATGCCTTACCTAGGCAGGATGTACCCCATCACATAGGGTGGACTCCCTTGGTTATTGCGTGTTATTTTTTGTGATCAATTATACAGTACTTGGTTCTACAATTTACCCTGTGGGTGTATGGGTTGACGCAGTCTCTCTGCAGCAAAACTCAAGGGACCAGAAAAAAATTTGCTGTACAACAGATACATTTGTGGTAGAGAACCAGTATTACGTGGGGAGAGAACCTTATGGGACCAAATACAATTTTTTTAAACAGATATTTCTTGTAGACAAAATTGTTGCAGTGAGAGTCCACCGGTATTACCATTTACTACCCTATATTACATGACTCTTGCAGATTAAATGATTATATTTCTTTTTGATGTTGAATTATTAACAGAATTTTCAATAATATTGGGAGATGCTGTCCTGCATTAGCGGGACTGGCCCCGCATACTTTTCAAGCAAGAATACTAGACAAAAAATAAAATTACCTCCTTGAAAAAAAAAAACGAAAGAACCAACAAGAATGAGAAGAAATCGGGGTGTGGAATTAAGAGGGGCAAACAATCACGCAAAAGCTGCTGGACCAATGGTTAATTGAACACACAAAAGCATTTACAAATGGAGCAGCAAAGCCAAATGCGTTCCATGCGTAAGCAAGAAACTGTAAAAACATAGCCTTTTTTAGCATGGATGGATATAAGATACCAATGGAAAATTATAAACACAAAGTAATTCCAAGCGAAGTTTTTTTGCCAATATGAAGCAGGCATGGATTTTATTCTTCAGTGCATTTTCTCAAAAAACAAAGCAGTCCAGATGAAACAAAAGCAAATTTCTTTTGAAGATAACAAAATTAAACTTGAACTTCTGATTTTTCGCAAATGCAATGTTAACACACCAATATATACTCTGAACAAAAGTAAGTACAGTATTACAGTAAAACTGGGAAGAGACAATCGCCAAAATCCCTGGGGGTCAGACTGTCTTCCAATTGTATAGAAGTAAAAACAAAGGACATTGAAACATNGCGTCGAAGTCGAGGCGACAGGAGGTTGCGAAGCAAAAGTTGGCACTAGATTCACGTCACTTTCGCAGCAAACCTGGTTCTCCCTGGGGCATTTCTTGGTCGGATCCCTGCTGCCAGGAAGGCAAACGATTTCCACGTGTTCCGGAATCACGCAGATCTGAGTGGCGTCGTTCCGACAGTCTGTCAGAGCTGGACGTGGGGGTTCCACAGCTTCCGGTTTTATTCCGATACTGCAGCACACTTGGTCCTTGTCTGGGCAAATGGCATTTGGCAAAAATGAGCTCGGTTTGCACAATGTCTCGGCAAATTTAACTGGAAAACACGCGTGAGGGCAGCTGATGGGTGTGGCCATCGACGACGACGTCGTCGTTGTTGTTGTTGTTCCCTCGGGTTCAGCATCAGTGAAGGGGTTAAATGCCTGGGCCAGGTTTCTCTGCAAACACGTCCCCGGTAAAAAAATGTTAATACCAGACCCTATAATGAGGCTAATTTGGATTCTGAACACGGTTTTTCGACTAGTGAGGGCGTCTCAAAACGGCGAGTCCAAAATTTGCGCATCCAAAACGGCGCTTATCCACAGAAATATGAAAGCATACGCAGTAAAGAAGAGCTTCCGAAAACTACAAATTATCGATTATCGAAAGGAGATCAAAATTAATAATATTTCCCATTCAGCAAGAAGAATATGATGAAATATTGATAGACGCTCCTGAAGTAGATTATGCTGGCTTTTTTCATTTGCACCACAAAACTCCCCAAAGACAACTCAAGAAAGTCTTAGAAACTTTTATTTCGCTTGAGTTCATCATTTCCTCAGTGCAAAGTAAGAATAACTTCAATGGTTAATCCTAACGAATTCTTTTACATCCGGAAGCTGCTGGACAAAGCGATATTAAGACCGAGTTTCCACCAAAAACCGTTTTCAACCAGCTTCCAAAGGATACTCCTTCCACATCATTGCGTTTTTCGTCCATTTTTTGGACATTTAACATGAATTTTCGGATAAAACTTTATGCCGGAAAATTTAAAAGCGAAGGACAAATTTAACAAACCCAAATGAATCCAAGGTGCGTAAAATTAATCTGAAGTCAAGTTAAGTTAACCAAAGCTAGCCGACTGTGAACGATTTTCAGGACCCATTCATTGATTTTCTCTATTTTATATGTTCGTGAAGTGGGAGAGGATGTCTCCGAGAAGCGAAGATGACAATACTGCAAGTCATTAGTACAGGGGAAATACAAGGGAAGAGCTTGCGAGGGTAGAGCAGGTTTAGACGGCACTAATCAATGAAAAATTGCCAGCCACTGTTTTCTTCCCGATTCGAAATCCATGACTTGAAAAGTGTTCTATTCGAGCATGATTCGACCCAGTGCAAGAAAATCACCAGCACAATCCAACCCAAAAGTTTGTCCCGGTGTACACGGCACAGCTCATTCCCAAAAGGATGCATCCCAGGAGTATGTCTTACCTAGGCAAAATGTACTACACAGTATGCCTTACCGAGGCAGGATATATTCCATCACATAAGGTGGACTCCCCTGCTTATTGCTGGTTACTTTGTATGAATTATACTCAGTTCTACCGTTTACCCCATGGGAGTATAGGTTGATTCTCTCAGTCTCTCTATACAGCAAAACTCAAATGACCAGAAAAAAAGTTGCTGTACATCAGATAAATTTGTTGTAGAGAACCAGTTTAACATGGGGAGAGAACCTTATGGGACCAAATACAAATTTGTTGAACAGAGAAATTTGCTGTAGACAAGATTGTTGTGGACTATGTAGAGAGAGTCCACCTGTATTACCATTTACTTTTTGATGTTGAATTATTAACAGAATTTTCAATAATATTGGGAGATGCTGTCCTGCATTAGCGGGACTGGCCCCGCATACTTTTCAAGCAAGAATACAAGGCAAGATAATAAAATTACCTCCTTGAAAAAAAAAACGAAAGAACCAACAAGAATGATAAGAAATCGGGGAACACCTTAATTCTCCCCGTTTGTTAGTGCGTTTTCGACGACCTGGTTACCAATTAACTTGTGTGTTTTCGTAAATGTTTACCTCGTCGTTTCGGTTTACGCAAGGTACGCATTCGTTCTTTGACATTAAACATAGCCTTTTTTAGCATGGATGGATATAAGATACCAATGGAAAATTATAAACACAAAGTAATTCCAAGCGAAGTTTTTTTGCCAATATGAAGCAGGCATGGATTTTATTCTTCAGTGCATTTTCTCAAAAAACAAAGCAGTCCAGATGAAACAAAAGCAAATTTCTTTTGAAGATAACAAATAATTTGAACTTGAAGACTAAAAAGCGTTTACGTTACAATTGTGTGGTTATATATGAGACTTGTTTTCATTCATGTCATAATGTCATTTTGACCCTTCTCTGTTAGCGGTTTTAGGGACCCCCAGTCACTGTCTTCCAATTGTATAGAAGTAAAAACAAAGGACATTGAAACATGCTCAAAGTTTTTAAAACATCTAAAAAAATTTAATTGTTTAAGTTTTGAATTCTGTTGAGAAAAACGATCAAATTGATACAAAACCAGTACGATTTCATAAACTTTGGAAAGTGGATCAAATCTTCTCTCATGAGCTTCTCTTTCGAGACTTGTTCATCATACCTGCACTGAATGATGGTTAATATGTATAAAGCTCGATGATTTGGAGAAAAGAATGCCTTTCTGATTTTCGTCATTTTATTCTTCACAGAGAGTGATGCCGTTCATGATGGCGATTATGTTGTTTACCACCCATTTTAAAGATGCAAACTTGTTTTTACAACAAAAGAGCAATTATTTTCTGCAAAGAATACGATACAATCAGCCGACGCAGAAGTTTCTATGTATTCTATATATATTTTGTTGCTAGTCATCGTGACCGCAAATTCCATTTCGTGCAAAAAGATCAACTTATTTTGCAACAATTTTCTCTACAAGATACAGTATTCTATAAACCGAAAAATGTCATCTCCCAGCATTGTTTTTAAGTTTTAATGCAGCATTACTTTCAGAGAAGAGGCTCCATATAAACATATTTCTCTTCGTCCGTAATTCGGTCGCAAAGCGGAGGCTTATCTCAGACTATTTGGAATAACTTAGTTTTCGTACCGGTTTGGATACGGATTTCCAACAAGCGTTGCTGGATCATCGACACTGGCGCACAGCAGGACAACCGCGAATCCGAACAACTGAAAGCGTCAGTGAAATCCCGAGGCTCTAAGAAATCTTCGCACATGGTCGTCAAGTATTTCGCCATACACTGCATATTCTGCCGATCACATGGTGGTAATCCTAAGAAGGAGGTATAAGGGCGGATCCGTGAAAGTGTCTGGAAACTGCGGTGGGACCTAGCAAGTGAAATAAAGAGAATTCACTCACCACTCGGTACGAAAAGTGGCAAGATATTAGGCTTCAGCGTCGAAGTCGAGGCGACAGGAAGTTGCGAAGCAAAAGTTGGCACTAGATTCAGCAGTGAAAGCGTCGTTTGGACCAAGAGGGACCCCGTAAAGAACCAGCCTAGGGACGACGGTCCTTCCGTTTGCTAAAGGTGCACAAGGCCTTAGTGCGTCTAGACTCACCGCAGCAAGGCTGTCAGCGACAGAGCTGGACGTGGGGGTTCCACAGCTTCCGGTTTTATTCCGATACTGCAACACACTTGGTCCTTGTCTGGGCAAATGGCATTTGGCAAAAATGAGCTCGGTTTGCACAATGTCTCGGCAAATTTAACCGGAAAACACGCGTGAGGGCAGCTGATGGGTGTGGCCATCGACGACGTCGTCGTTGTTGTTGTTGTTGTTCCCTCGGGTTCAGCATCAGTGAAGGGGTTAAATGCCTGGGCCAGGTTTCTCTGCAAACACGTCCCCGGTAAAGAAATGTTAATACCAGACCCTATGATGAGGCTAATTTGGATTCTGAACACGGTTTTTCGACTAGTGAGGGCGTCTCAAAACGGCGAGTCCAAAATTTGCGCATCCAAAGGCCGCGAATAGGTGTCTTTATACTTTCGTATGCGTCATTTCTTCTCGAAGGCTTTTGATGTTTAATAGCTAATAGCTTTCCTCTAGTTTTAATTATTATAAAGGGTAAGTCGTTCTTCTTATACTACCAAATTAAGAGCATAAAACACGGGTTGTTTCATCCCTCCAGTTCAGTTTTTTCTTTGCATTCTGCGCCGTTTTTGGATGCTCTCAAGTGCCCTGTGCGGACTGAAAAATACCTTCAATTGGCAGCAAACTTCTTCATCAGCACAATCCGTGATGCCCAAGTTAATCGCGTCTGCGTCGCACAGGGAAATCAGCGACATCCTAACACACTTATTGGCACAGCGTTTGATAGTCGTGGCAGGTTTCACAGAGGTGCTCGCGATCGGTTTGACAGAGGCTGTCGACAACGACGTCCCGAGCTTGTCTGCATTCATAGAGCAGCAGATCTGATCACTTCTGCAATCCACTGAGTCTTTCTGGAAAGTTTCCACGTCGCACAGGTTCAAAAAGAAGATGTCGATGCAAGACCAACGACACAAGACTGGCTCAAAAACTCCCTACTTGCGCCACCTACTGACTATGCTTGTGTCCTTTAAGAGACTTGTCCACACTGGGACGCCCGTAGCCGACGTCCCAAGGGGCCCATTCATGTGGTGCAGGGGTCTGTCAGAAAGAGATTTTATACTGCTTTCAGACAAGGAAAGAAAATCAGAATTTTCCTTCCGATAAAAAATAGAAGGATCGAGGAGTGTATAGTAAATATGAATCGAAAAGAAAAGATTATAAATAAAATTCTGACCGAGTTTTTGAGGGATGAACGCGGTGGATGACTGATACGAACACAGGAAATTCTCTGAACAGGTGTGACCCTGCGGGCATCGGCTGCAGGGTTCCCCGGGTAAGTACACCACGTCCCCAGGTTCAAGCCCTCTGCAAAATTGTATAACTTTCGGGTTGCCTTCTGGGTGACGAGGAGCATAACGGTTTTTTTGTAACATTTTTTTAGAGTGGGGTCGTGATGATTGAGGGATTATAAAAAACACACCCACGTAAAGAGGAACAGATTAAAAAAGTGTGAGTTCATCAGCATAAAAACAATACCGTTTTCTTTATGACTATAATTTTACAAGCTTCGAATAATCGGCTTAAAATTGAGCATACCAAGATTTTTAATAATACTGTAATATAAGAAATAACTCTATCTGAACCACTTTAATGTGTGAGCCTTTTCGTCTGATTGTCTCTTTATTGGTACAGTACTCAATTTTCCGGGCTAAGGTAGAATATTTGAATATTTTCTGAAAAGTTTTGAACTCTTCAAGTTGAATTAAAGCACTTGTTTTACATTTGGAATTTTTGAAGTTGCATTTAAAGTTTTTTCTACTATTTGGGAAAAGTCAAAACTGGAATTATCCCAGTTTTAAAATTTAAATTTATAAAATGCTATTGCTTCAGGCCATTTGATTATTACTGTATCGTGTTATTAGATTCGACATTTTGTGCAGAAAATTACCTCATGGGATAAAAACAATACCCATGCCAAACTGTGTGATTGGCAGATGCTGCGCAACAATAGCAGTTTATCCTCAACATTTTGGAATTTATCGGCACGATTAGTAAATCTGGAATATGCTTTTTGCATGAAATAAAGTCTTCGTTAAAGTATTATGCTCAGGATTTTGCTCACCCTGGACCATAGTTGCACACGTGTACGCTGTAAAGTGGGTGCTTCGGCGAAGCTTGGAATCTTGCCTGTCCACAGCCAATTAGGTAACTTCCCTCCGAAACCAACTGCGCGTAAGAAGCCAGTTCTGGCCCGATGTCAAACCCAGGCAACTCATAAATCCAATCGTGGTCAAATTTGGATCGATGAGAGGCCCATTTTGCAATGACGGATGTCCAGGTTGAGGACCCATTCATGACGATCAAGTTCTGGCCGACTCTGAAACGCGCTGGGCAAAACAACTCATTCTAAAACCTTTCTTGAATTGATGATTATCGAGAAAGTTGGGAAACTGGCTAGAAAATGAGTCAAAAATGGTTTTATGCTCTCACCCACGCGACGGCATTCGACGCAATCGGAAACTGCAGGACAGCGATCTGCCCATTTTTGCGCAAGTCGAGCTAACTCATCGTCCCATCTCTGAAAATTGACGAGTTTGTCTTCATACTTGTAAGTGATCAAAATGAGTGACGTACTGCAATTTTTGGGGAAAACAATCCACCTTGATGCTGGTTTTTTTTTTTCATTCTACGCGATCACAAGTATGATTTCGTGCAATTATGTAGCGGGTTAGGCGAAGAAAAAAGCACCCCATGTTCAGGGAAATTTATTTCATTTTCAGCAGTAAGAAGAAAACAGGGCGCGAAAAAGGAGATCACATGAATGTTGAATTGCGGCATTTTCTCTGACAGGTTTTAAAGGTTGGAACTACTGGAATCTATTGTGCCACAAAAATTTGAAATTTGAGTTCCCAGTAATTGCCTTGCGATGTGATGCATGTCAGCAAAAAAAAAACATCATTATTCATGAATTGTCATGTAATGTGATGTAGTTTCTTGTGAATGGATATAGGTATGTAGGGGATTCGGAAACAATGCTTTGAACCGCGTGAACGCTGATAAACGGCAAATAAAACTAAAAAGTATATTTTACAAATTTTAACGATTTGGGAAGGCATCGCGACCAGCATTTATAACAATTGCAGTTTTTCAACAACAGCTTGCAGCTTTTTCGGCACACTACACATCGTTGCGTGAGGTTGATAATCCTAATCCTACATTTTCGCGCGATTTACGCCGAAAAAAAAAATTTGTCAATACAGGCAGGTGGATGTCAAGCGAAACAAATTTGGTTTATTTGTTGTCACGGGAAAACTTGTTTCGCATACAAGATTCTTTATGAATATCCGAAAATAAGCAAGAATCGAAGTGTGCATTGCATGCAAATAAATGTCATGCGTTTCCCAAAGTATTCTCCGCAGATAGGATACAGTTAATTTTTATCATTGCTTTAAAATTTTTCTTTTTATCCGTTAAAATATCTCCGAAGTTTTTTCTTGAAAAAAAAGGCTCTCAGTACCCAAATGATAATTTTTGTCTGTGCATAAAGGAAGTACTCACAATTTCTCTCATTCGAGATGCCTTCGGCTGATAAGCGATGAAACCCTTTTTTGGTTGACCGCGCTCATCAGATCCTTCCAAAGATCCCCCTATTGCAACGATCCGTCGGACGCGATTGTGCTCCTGAACAATCTCCTTTTTCTCGCTTTCCGAAATCCCAGATGCCAACTTGACACAGGTTCCATCGTCACGCAAGCAACCCGTGTGATTAGCGCTAAAATATTTGTAGCAAATTCCATCGACGACCGTGGAACTGAAAACGTTGTGAACTGCAGACTGGATTCTGGATAACACCGGTCTTGGGATCCCGAGACTGTCAATTATTCGATCGGTGCCCTTGTGGAGCCGTTCTACCAAATTTCGACCAGCCGGATCATTCCTGAGCACCGTTGCTATGTTTTCCGTGGACAGAAGATCTAGCAACGCGGAATTTGCGCGTCTTCTTATTTTAAAATCCAAATCGGCCCCTTGAAAGACGGACTGTAAGTTTTCTTGCAGTTTCTTGAGGAGTTTACCGCGATCTGCAATTTCTTCAGCTGCCAGCGCACTGAACATAATGAAACATACAAAACAAGCCTCGGCCTTCATTTTTAATTCCTGCGAAAAAAAAAGACAAGATACACTTTTCTCGGGTAACAAAAGATAAGCAAGCTGCGAGTTGATCCGTCTCTCATTTCCGTACGTAAAAAAAAAATAAAATAAAAAGCGAGCGCAATTCGAAGCAAGGCCGGAAGTCGAGATCCGCATGACGTCTTCTCACACAGAATGACTGGAAATCCAAGGTATGAACCTGATCAGTTTTCAGACACGAAAAAAAGCCAGTTAAAAACAGTGAAAAATAATGTATCGGATGCGAGCAACTCACCCATGAATTCGAGTGAAGACTGAGTACATTCCTGGTCTGCGACCTGAGCAAGGTCTATCTCCAAAATAAAAACTCACGACTCCTTCGACGTACCAAGCGTCAGCAGCGGTACTTGCATCCTGAAAAACTATTGGGCCTCCCGAATCTCCTCTGCATACAGTCTGATATTCTGTTGAGTTGCGTAAATTAAATATTACCCAGGACAATTTAATTCTCGAACACACAATTTTAAAAATAAACTGGACTCTTGTTAAATTCAAACTTCATGGGAACAGCTGAAAAATTCGAGTCAGGGATGTTTCGTGTTATGGAGCAAGCATTTTCGTCGGGAACAAGGACAGAAGAATTTCAGGCAATCATAATTGATGATATTGTGGGCCTTACATTTTTTCCTGAATGAGTTGACAGGATGCAAAACGGCTGTGGTTAATTTGTTCAATTAGTCTTCCACTTCCTTTCGAAACACATATACTGTAGCTACATTTTTATTGCTTTTTTTCTTTCCTGTGTCAGTAAAATAACAGCGAAAAGGCCTACAGAAAATTTAAAATATGGATGTTCGAGCGGTAAATGCAGTCGAGTTAGGTCGGTTTTCAATGCATATGGTTTCTGAGGGAATTCACACGGGAGTACGGGACTCTCAAAAATTTTATACTGGGAGGTTTTCTACTAAATGAGGTTGCAGTTAGGTTCCGAAGTACGATTATGTTTCAGTACAGAAAGGAAGGAAAGTTCAATTCGCACTGCGTATACGAATAGTGGGATTCGTACTTTTCAGTAACGATACCGCTTTGATCGAGCGTGGGTAGATGTCGCTGGTAGTAAAGACTGCATTCTATGGTACGGTACAAGATTCTTCTTTACTCTACTGTATATTTACCTAAAATGTTTGCGCCAGTATTACGCGATGTTTAAAGACAAAATTTGTGCATACTCTCGGTTGACAAAATGTCAAACCTTCTCTCTTCCGCAAGCATTGATTTATTTATGCCTGCGACTGGACTTGAAAGCAAAGTAAAAATTATTTGTCACCAAACACATGAAATCCGCGAGAACGCCTCATTCAGCACTGCAGGTTGAATGCGGCGCAAAACCTTGCACAACGAGTTCCTTCGATTTGTTTCTCGAAAACGATGCCATCAAGTTCGCCTTTATTCGATGCAAAAAGTTCCACTCACTTTCTATGGGAGTATTGGAGTCGAAACCTGCGCAGAACATGTTGGCGGTCAAGAACCGGACGCCATCCGATTCCAGAACTCCGCCAACAGTTTCTTCTCTACATTTTTTCACCGGGACAAACGGAAGCGAAGCGTAAGAAAGCTGATCAGTTCCTTGATCCAGCTCGTTGTGACCCCAGCCAGCAACCTTCGGTGAAAAAAATAGAATTTTGTTTTGAGAATACCTGTATAAGACGCACGGGATTGGAAAAATCAGTTACCCACTATAAACGACACAAAAAAAGCCCGGCGTCATGGAAAAATACGCAGAAAGTGAAATTTATTGGGATGCCAAATTGTTTTCAACAATGCAGAAGATCTACTTGATTCTTGGAACGCATGCGGACTAGTTTAAGATCGGTCTGATTTAAACGAAAGAATCGAGAATAAATGCAAGAAAGCTTCCGAACTTTTTTTCCTGGAGTTATTACTGTATATGCTTTCAAGTGACTAGTTCTTCCGAATTCAACTAAAATCTCAAAATGGTTTTCAATGTAACAATTCCCTCTTCAACTATATTCTCCATGGAATACAATTTCCTGGTCTCAACAAACACTAGTATCAACAGCTCATCTGGAACGACCGTATTTTTTTTTAGAAATTTTTTAATTATTTTAAATTTCATCACGAAGTATCACTGCAAAGCGATTCCAACAGTTTTTTGAATTTGAATTCCCTTGCAAACTAAATAAGACCGAATAGTATTTCATATTTCTTAGTGAAATCTAACTTTTTACAAGAAGATTTAGTTTTTCAAAAATTCATGAATTTTCGTGCATACTCGGCGTGAAAAAATGTGAAAATAAGGCCAGTGACCGTGCTTTCGTAAATTCGAAAAAATTTCTTCGTCGTCAGATTCAGAGACTGAGTAATTAAAACTCTTTATGCACATGAAATATTCGTGATTTAGTCTGCGTTCGTGAATAAAGGTATAAATTCAGTTTAACTCACAATGCCATTGTTCCCTTCGCTCAATCTGCTGTCAGACAGATCATATCTGACAGGAAGACACACTATTTGAACTCTTTGCGTCAGTTCAGCAGGAATCGACAATTCCACCAAAGCCAAGTCAGAGTCCATGTTCGTGGAAGAGTAAGTTTCATGTAAGATAAACTTCTTCACCTACGTACACGTCAAATGAGACATTTAATTCGAGGAAAGGCGAAATTAATTCCATGGACTAACTGCATGCTTTTGCACGTTCTCGTCATCCAGCAGGTTTGATCTGGCCTGTTTCCCAAGGTATACGTAGTAGTCTTCAGGTGGTGATTGAAATTTTATCGCTGGATTGTATAAACAATGAGCAGCGGTCAGGACCCATTTTTCCTTGATCAGTGCCCCACCGCAAACGATTTCGTTGAGAGAAATTTGAAATAAAGCCGCCATCCACGGCCATTGTCCGGCAAGAGAAACATTTCCGCCAAGAACGAGTTCAGTTGCAATATACCTCTTTCCACAGTCTGCGGGAAAAAAAAGGTTCCTGGCAATCTGGTTTTACAACAAAGGTCAGCTACGCAATTGCATATTCGAAATTCGAAGACGTTCTTTTGATTAGTATCTTGGAATTGCGCTTGATAAGCAAAAATAATCGGAATTTTCCGTTGAAATGAGACAGTGCTTCAATGTTCCCCAAAAATAGACTAGGATTTTTTTCAGGGTTCATTCTACTTCATGTGGACTGTTACGTTTTGAGCAAAAAATATTTGGAAGTTGCTCATTTCTTCCGCTTCATCATAAGAAGCAGCCGCAATATTGAATGTGTTCAAATAAATGGTCTAATCATGATGTCCAGCGTTTAAAATATTCAAGGAAGGCTTTGTTTGTAAGGAAAACACTCACAGCAAAAAAATATTAATAATATCTGAAAATATCCATAATATCTGAAAATATTTTCGAAAACTATGCCCATATTTTCTGTAGGATGCTTATATTTTAAATAAGCATTGAAATAAGCATGTATTGACGGTCCTTATTATTATACAGGTGGGACTGTAAAATATTAAGAAACGCGAGACGGGTGATGGGACTTGATTTTCGCAAACCTGATTCGCAAAACGGAGTTCTCCCATTCCAATTTCCAGTGTTGTCGCAAACGCGCCAAGCATCGCCGCGCAAAACGTAGAAATCGTCGCACTCGTAACTCACTCGCGTGCCAATTTTGTAACGGGTGCCGTTTTGCAGGCATTCCGTTTTGTTCCTCGACGACAATGGGAAAAATCCCGAGCCGCTGTCATGAATAATCATGCTAAATTTTTTCATATTTCATTGATGAGTGCTCCGCGGTTCCAAGTAAGACACTAGCATTAATGCGCGGTTTTTCGGCTCTGAGCACGAACAATTACGATTTTTTAGTTTCAAGACACAGTACTGTATACAGGATAAATGTAACCCGCATTATCTCATAAAACAAAGCTAAATATCTCATGCGATATGATTTCTCAACAAGACTTACTTATTTTCGCAGGATACGATTGTGAATCTTCCACGAATCAGACCTGCAAGCACTGGACAGCCATCAGTTATCCTGCTTTGATCATCCCCTTTCGAAAAGAAGACAATTTTATTCATAAGATTTTTTAAACACATTATTTGAAAGATGACGCACACGAAAAATGAATTCGCCTTATAATAAGATGTACACGTTAACTTCATACACAAAGAGAAGATATAATTATCTTCTGGATCGGAAATTGAAAACAGAAATATCAAGTTTGGAAGATCCATATTACGGGCGTGTTTTCCAGCATGATTTTCCTTTTGTGTGATTTCTAAGGCTGAAGTCCGTAACTTGACAATTTAAATAGCCGGTTTACTGGGGCCCATAGCTTCTTTTCTTCTTCTAGTCCTTGTTTTCTGCTTTTGAGTGAAATCCAATGAAAGCAAGTGAAAATCGGTCAGCAGATTTTCTGCGACAAGCAAAGCAGGAAAGTGAGAGTCGAAAATTAACTTTTCTCTCAAGGATAAGGAGACAGAACACTTTCGACTATTGTCATTTGATTCAATCATACAGCATCCAGCTGGTTTAAATATGTAGGGAAATCTACGATAAAACATTTTGAAAAGATATTTGAGATCGACAGATTTTTTCAAAGCTTCTGGTTGGACTTGACTTCAGAAAATATAAAAATAGACTTGCTCATAAAGCTGAATTAGGATGAAGCTATATTTCCAACTGAAGGTGCCGTTCACCAACAAATCGTTCCACGGCGGATCCCTTAAACCTACTTCATGCATTTTAAAAAATTTTGAGCATTAAATATTTTAATTTTGGGTCCTCGATTCCTTACAAAGTCTAAAATGTTTGAATCATAGGCATAATAAAATATTCTTCGCGTATCCACGTTCAGTCCTCTCCCTTGATTGAATAATAATAATTACTTTTTTTATTTTGCAAAACATGTATGGCAGGTACAGTACCTGAATCACGACCACGAGGAGAGGGTTCCGGGGATGGGTCAATCAGCCCAGCGGCAAAAACAGTCATGGTGGCGCGAAGAAACTCATATGCCCAAGTTTCTCTGGCATCCACAAAAACACTCACTTCCCCGGAAGCAAAACAAGTCCGGCTCGGGAAAGACAAATGACCAGCGAGGAAATATGTCCCGTCAATGGTGCCACGTCGGCGCACCAGAACGGCGCCTTTTCCGCCACACCACGGGCGCTGGACTCTCAGGCACAGCGAATTTTTGGGTGCGGAATCACCAGCAAAGCGGGCCGCCGTTCTGCAAGCCTCGTCCGACTCCACGACAGCGGCGGTGGAATTTACGGCGTCCCGAAATGTTCTTCCGTCGCCTTATGAGGGATTTTGTGGTTGTTGAAAATAACGTCTTAATGATCCGATATCCGCGAAATAAATTAAAATAATCTTAGTTTTTTATTTGAGAGCCCCCCTCCGAAGTACACGAGGAATATCCGGAATGAACCCAAATTTAATTAAAATTATTGTATGTAAATTATTATTAAAATTATTGTATGTGCCACGCCAGAGGAATTCAGCAGTATGCTTTCTTGGTCTCAAAAACTGTTCGTACTGTATTCCATTAAAGATCCACCCAACCTTGAAACATTGGGATTATTCAGATAATATCGATATAGGCACATTATTTACAAGAATTGAGTAGACCGCGCTTCTTTTTCGAGCATTTTCTAATAAATTCAGACGGCGTCGAGTATTTGAAAGTAAAAGGCGTAACCAGTATTGAAATGCCTTCACAGTATTTTTAATTGATGCTTTTCATTGTTTTGTTTGTAAAAAAAAAACCAAACTTACTTGATAGTGTACTGAAAACGAAAAAGTCATCCGCATGTTGAACTTGCCCACCAGTGCAGAGAATGCACGTTTCGTCATCGTCTAAATCAATCTCGTCCACGAGCCTCAGAATTGACAAATCGTTATCCAAGTTTTCGAGCTTGTAATCGTAATGAGGAATGCATTCAGCAACGCGATGTTTTTTCTGCGAATCACCGGGAGCCCTAACAAACAAATTTTTGGTTTCGGATTTCCTGAAGAAACAAAAATGAGAGATTTATACACAATTCGGTTGAAAGATACGATCATCGACTTACAAGCAAGAAGCAGCCGTTGTCACGAACATCTTTTCGACTATAGCCCCATGGCAAAGAACTTGACTGTCCGAATTCACGATTTCGACAAACCAGCACCACGGAAATTTGGCATTTGAGGATCTCCCACACGGGGTTTTTGTCATCGGGGACGTGAATTTGTCTGGAATTCCCCGATAGGCATTTCAAGTATATTCACTCATATTTGATATAATTCTGATCAAATAATGTACTCTGTTCACTGGCGTTTCTGTTGAAGATTGAGGTCCGACATAATTCGTGGTGTTTTTTTTTCGAATTGATGGATTCTTATATTCAGGAAAATTTGGCAACAGAAAGAAAGCAATGGCGATCTAGTTTTTTATGCCCTACATTCCTCACCGAAAGAATTGAACTTTCGAAAGACTTGGGATTCTCCCAACTTAATAAAAAGGGTTTTCAATCAAATCTTAGAGGACCAGGAAGATAAGTTAGCTTGATATGATTTCTTTTAGAAGATTCTTCCTGAATTCTTGAATCGGTTAAAGATATCTTGGAACAGGATAATTTTACTCAGAATTCCAACAGATTTAAATTAATAAAATCGTATTTCCGAGTCCCGGAAGTTGACGCAGTTTTTGAAGGGGACTTCGCTTCGCACTTCTGATGATTCATGCAATTCGATTTTGCTAAAGTGCTGCTCCATCTCGACTCTGAAGTACAGTATTTGCCTTTATATCGTATGCTTCAGTTTGTGTTGGGTAATTGCCATGCGCTGTGATATTTGTAAAAAAAAAACTATGGCTATTCATTTTTCGTGCATTTCTAGGTATAATGTACTGAGAGGTATTTTATTTTAATACCCAAACAGTAATTTTTTTTTTATTTGCTGGAATGTGTTGAGTGGATGTGTGTGGGGGTGGGAGGATGTGGGGAAAAATATTTGCAAATCAATCAATCGAACATGAGCAATGACAATTCGAACCTGATGAATCTGAGTTGTACAACGACCGCGTTTCGACATCGTGTTTCACACAACACTTGAGTCTGTTGTCGGAACAAGAGAAAAGATCCGAAAATCGCTGACCGCTTTCCGTCTGCTCGCATTCAGATTTCAAATATGCCGCCATGCAATGACCATTCCCCTCGCAAGGCAGCCTTTTCAATTCCCGCAAATTCGTTATCGATGCACCGCTCGTCAGGGCATCGAGTTTGCAACACACAGCTCCCGGATCCTCACAAACTTTCCCAGGGATCAAAGCCGACGGCTGGGCTTTACAAGCGACTGCGTCGAGATCCTTCAAACAAAGCTCATCGCACGAGGGTTGCACGGGTTTCCGGTCTCTCGAGGATTGCAGCCCGCAACACACGCGACCAGTTTCCGAAGTGCAACCCGTGGTGTTCTCCAGAATGGAGCCCGGATCGCATAGGGTTCTGTAGCGCTCTGGCAGACAAGCGTTCTCAGGTGGGCAAGGTGCGAGTTTCTTCGGGGCGCAGCACGTTGACCCGATGCCGCAGGTCGGCAACGATGACCTGATGTCAATGTCTCCGGAGTTGAAGGAATTGCACACCGAGTCGCTCAGTTGGTCTGGAACGCATACGAGGTCGCCGGTGCAGTTCTGAGAAGGTTTTTCAGTCGTAGGCGCTACGGGAGGTGGTGGTGATGTTGTTTTTGTTGTTGTAGGTAATAGAAGAGGAGGAGGGTCAACGTTTGCGATTTTAGGCTGGCAGCAAACTTCTCCGACTTGACAAGAGGTCAAACCGAGGTCTAAGGTCTCTGGAGCGCAGAAGCTGCTGAGCTCTACTCGAACACATGTCATTTCGCATCTCCTTATGGCTGCTACGGATGAGGTTTGTGGAAAAACAGGCGCCACTGGTGTTGGAATGATAACAGGCGGCTCTGAAACATAAAGAACTCAATCACTCAGGGTTTCCTTACTGTATCGTAACTATAAGGATGAATAGAAAAAAGTAATGATAGGTTGAATGCATTCGGCTGAATCAGGATGCTTGGAGAAAACCCGAACTCGCTAAGTCGGACCTCCCTAAGTCGAATTTTTTTCAAGTCCCTGTCTGGATTCCCATAGAAACAATGTATTAAAAACCTCCCTAACTCGAAATGTTTTTCTCTCAAACCTCTGTAAGTCGAATTTTCTAATGCCTTTTGGTTATTATTTCCTTGAAATATGAAAGATAAAATCAAGAAAAAAAATTATTTCAGGCATTTTGAAATAAAGTGAAGGACTAATTGAACAAATGAACCCCTGCCCACAAGTTCAGCAAACTTTAAACTCATTGGGAAGCAAGTTTAGGCCCAGAATATCCTCATATACAATTTCCCATTTTCCTTGGAGCAAAAATATTTGTTTCCTTTACCCCATATCTCAAAAAATGTAAACCTCCCTAAGTCGATTTTTTTTCTGGTCCCTAGAAATTTGACTTAGAAAGGTTCACCTGTACTAGAAACATCAAGGCGAAAACATATTTTTATTTCCCACTCATTCACAGCTTTATAATTGAACTTAAATCCCCATGAACTTGTATTTCCTCCAAAAACGAGTCTGAAGAAACAATTCACAGGAATTATTTTTCGTAATTCAATGTAACAAAGCGCTGCTTTTGAATTTGATTGTCTTACTCATAGCCAATTAGTAATTCTGAAAGACATAAAACCAGAATGCCCACAACACCATTTTGAGCCACGAAGTTCGTGGTTTCTACATCAACTACAACAAAGATACAATACTTGTAATCCCAAACAACCAGTCCCCATCGAGACGAGCTTGGGACAAAGAATAAAATCACCATGTTATTCCAAGAATAGGACAGGTTGCTCTTTTCTTTTTCATAAAATCCTCCACAACCTGCTATAATCATTTATGAGTCTATGTATTCCAGGAGACATTTTTGTTTGATATTAAAATGGTGAAAAACTATTAAGTATCTTTGCTGAGACGTTATGTTCGTATAATTTTCCTTGGAAGGATTCCACATTAGAATCCTGCAGAAATTCGTCTCTTTCATTCGTCAGACGGAATTTTACTGATACTGTACTAATTTCGGCTTCTGTAGGGAAGTGTTTGAAAGCTGTGCTCGGAGTGATTTAAAGAGAAAACTTTTTCGCGGGGTCAGGGTGTGCTTCAAGTTCATGAGACCCAAAATTTTCCAGTATGCATCATATCGATGCAAATTGAAAGATTAAAAAAATGGTCATGCTCTACAAAAGTATGGAGCTTAAAATTATACCAATCCCGAGAAGAATAAACAAAAAGCAGGCTACTCTTCAAGTCTACAAATATCCTCGGGGACAAGCGAATATTCTCCTGGAATTCGAGACCATACCCAAGATGTAGCAACAAATGAAATTGCGCGGGCAGTTGGTGACTGAGACTATCGTCGCCCTGTCGCATCGATGAGCGTCGGAATTGGCTAAGCATTTCTTTTGGCAAGGCCTCACGATTTGCGGGATAAATTTCCGCGTTCCCGGGATTGCTGGGAACACCAAACGAGACGTACGTGTGGCTGCTGGTGGGGGTTGCTGTGGAAGTCCTTGGCCATCACCTTGACAAAGGCCACCAACACAGGCAGTGTAGCCTGCTGGACAGCGGGAACATGCTGGCCCGGGAATGAACACCGACTGACCCTGTACGTTGCCCCTGAATATGTTTTTTCAAATAAATACAGTCAACCCATGTTGAGACGCCTCCAATAAGCCGCCACCATTGGCAACCGCCAATTTATTTTGATGAACAGATACAGTGAGACCCCCAGATGCGGACATAATTGGGGCATCAAGAGTGTCCCTAAGTTGAATTGTTCCTAAGGCAAGTCTTGTTTTCCCATAGACTTACATTATATAATTTTTAATTGGCATTCTATGGAAGAAATATTCTTCAGAATTCCGTGAAAAAAGGTTTTTGCCCCTTGAATTTGATTCAATGAATATTTTTTCAACCTAATAAGAACATTTGGAACATTGAATAGTATACCACTGTACAGTTCATTGAATTGTTGGCATCTGTAAAAATAACATCCAAGTCACAAAAAGAGAAGGAAGTCCCTCTGTGCTACAGGTAATTTTTTCTAATTAGCTGAATTGATGGGAAATTGATAGGAAAAGTACCAAAGAATTTTTCTTAAATAGATCTTAGGGTTGGAAATACCTGTTTCTTGCAATTGAGCTTAATAAAAGTCAATTTTCCTAAAATTGTACTTGGCAATTTAATCATGCAACGTCCTCATGTCGAGTCAGTGTCCCTATGTCAGGCCATTTTAATGATTTTGTTGTTGAAAAATAAATGTCCCTATGTTGAATTGTCCCCATGTCGAGGTGTCCACATGTGGGGGTCTCACTGTACTTCCTTATGGTAATAGCCTTTGAAACCTTGTAAAAATGGCATCCGCCAAAATTATTGACCATGCAAATACGTGTATGCTCCGGTCAATTAATTTTGTCATCAATAGCCCACAAACAAAATTTTCAAGTTCTGTGACAGGTATTCAATTGAAAACGCACACAAGCACAAAGATGACAAAACTTACTTCTGCTGGGAACATTAGCTAGGTATAATTTATGCATCCCAGGCTTATTTTGATTGCTTTCTAGAACAACAAGAATTTTATGTTCCATTTGATTAGATTTTCATTTCATTTTAGCTTTTTTTACAAACCACCAGCCTGCTCTAAATCACCAACTGTGTTAAACCGCCACAAACCTTACAAACAACTAATGGTGGCTTTGAACACACTCACAAACAGCTACAGTGAGACCCCCACATGCGGACAACTCAACATTCAAACAATTTGACATGGGGACACTTTTTTCAAAAAAATATAGAAAAAGGCCTGAAATGCAGACAATGACTCGAGATGCGGAGAAAGCACACTAAAATGTCAGACAAAAATGACGTTTATCAGGAGGACTGACAAGAAACCAATATTTTCAACCCATTGAAATGAAAGGCTTATTTCAGAAAAAATCTTTGGCATTGCCTTCAGTTTCACACCCAGTTTGCTAATTCTGAATAATTACCTCCAGCAATATTTTTACCCAGGTACTGTTTTTATCCCTGTATTTATTTTCTGCAGTTTGTCATTTTTTAGATCAGAATTTTCTCCATACAGAAGCTGTGATTTTTTTTGGAAAATGGGTGCATTATTGTCCTTTTTTGATAAGAATGCATTGATTAGGACTTTAGGTAATTTCACTCATGTTAATCTTGCACAGGCTCATGCGTAATAACCCCGTATATAGATAGAGTGGATCATTTAACATTGGCAGGCAAATTCTTCCTTTTTCATGGAATTCTAATGATGTTTATTCGGAAAAATACTGATTAAAATTATATAATGTAAGTCTAAGGGAAAACAAGATTTGACATATGATGGGCATTTCAACATCTGGACACTCTTGACGCACCAATTGCGTCCGCATCTCGGGGTCCCACTGTAATTCCCTTGGACTGAATAACTTCCCCAACTTACGCTGGTCCGTAGTTGCAAACGTAAGTTGACTTGGCAGAGTCTTGCCCAAAAGCTGATTTCACCATTCCACAGCCGACGAACGACGTTGTTGCCCAGACAATTTGAGAGTAGCCAGAAAAGCTTTCATAAAAGTAGAAGTTTTGAATGGCGTATTGTCCAAGACTTTGCTTCTGTTTCGACCATGTGCTGAGTGGACGAGTCCAGTTGGATCGCTTCAGTCCAGTATCAGGCCAACGTTGGTAGTTGTAATAGTTTTGTCCTACTTGGAACCTAGCTGATGTGACATAATATGCAAGCTTCAGTCCACATTTGAGATCAACTCAAATATTAAGAAAAATGCAATACTAGTCAAATCCAGGTTGGGAAGAAAAATGGAAACAACGATTCAATCTTTTCAGTTTAGCTCATCTTAATTTATTTGCTTTTGATGAAACTTGAAAATTATTTATAGAATATCATGCGCAGTGATGTTTTACAAGTTTTCTATGTTTTCCATTGAAAAATGTTGCAAATTGAAAATTATAAAATAAAACAAAAACCTTTTTGGTGATTTTTGTACAATTTTCAAAAATGTTTTTACATTTTTGGTTGTAATTCTGTCAAATTTCAAGATTGTTGCGTGTTCAAAAAAATGAAATTTGGAAAATATCTTTGCACATGTAATGCTTTTAAAAATTTCAAAATTGGTTGAAAACGGAATTTTTACTGAATTTTCAAAGTTCACAAAACGGGAAATGAATTTTCCAAATTTCAAAGCCTAGTATCGATTAAATAATTCAACATGTAAGTCTATGGCGGATCCTACTGGAACAAATTAAGTCCATAAACCGGGGTTCGACTGTACTTGATTACCGGAATTATTTTTCCTCGAGCCAGAATACAGCAAGTGATGCTCAAAAGGTAAACTTCAAATGAAACACTAAATGAGTGAGCTCGATAAGTAAATAATGTTCGTGAAATATTATGCTTATTACGGGATTGAAAAATATGAAAGATTTCGAAAGTTTTCGTCCGCTTTTCTTCACTCACCAACTCTACGACAGTCAGAGCAATCAGTCATATCCTGGCACTGATCAGCCCATTTCTGTGCAACGAAGGCAAGCTCATCGTCCCATTGCTAAAACCAATCATAAATGAAGAAATGAATCCCTTGTCCATGTTTTCTTGTGGGCATTTGTACTCAAATATTTTTTATTATTTATTGTTGTGTTCTTTCGATTACATTCCGCTCGGGAATTTTAACGTTGATGCGAATCAGCGACTGCTGGATGACGATTGTGAAATTTCATGCAAAAAAGAAATAAATTTGGAGAATGAGTCTTCAAGTATTGTTGGGATGCTGCGGATGATGTCAGAAACAATCTTTCCGCCATTTAAAGTTATTTCAGAACCGAATTTTCAGTTTTTGAATCCAGAGAACAGTTATAATCAATATGCAGTAGTTCGAGAGAAATGACGAGGGCTCTTTCTTATTCGCAAAGTTTTTTTTTTTTCCCGAATGAGTATACCATGATTGCTCCATTCGGAGAAAAAATTCCTGTTCATACCAAGTCAACTTATTCGATCGCCCTGTTCTGCCAAAATATCAACAGGTTTCGGACCTCTTTACCACCAAAATGCTCACCAGTTTGATCATATTGGCAGCACCAGCGTCGGCCCTGATGGCATTGTGCTCGTCGACGATGAACTGCTTTTCGGCGGCACTCACGCCCCAGTACAGCCGCCGCGGGCAACGCGAACCCGTCAGGCAACCCGAATGCGAAGCGGAGAATTCCGGATAACAGCCCGGACGCCCAGCGCAACCCGCGACAACCAACGCAACCCACGCCACGAAAATTCGGCGAATGAGCCTCACGAAACTGCCCATTTCCGCGAAAAGAGCGTTCTTCGTCAGGCTTCAGCAAGCTCAAGCTTGGGACACAAAGACTAGTTCGTCTTCACACATCATGCCTGAATACTTCAGTTATGCACAATTATCAGCTGTCTAACATAGGGTATTTGTGTTCATGAATACTGTACAAACATCGTCACGCTTGAACTAACTTACTTCCCTCAACTGAAGATAAACTTAATTGAATGCCAAAATAATCTAACTGAGGCCCTGAATAAGCTAGGAGGTTCTTTTACTCCGCAACCTCTGCAGCAAAATCCCAATTGCTTAAAGACAAGATTTAATGATTACCTATAACGAAAGACCTACTAATATATCTAACCCAAGACCTGGCTCAACGCATGAGTGACTTCACAAACATCCGAAGACCCAGCAATGGTAAAACCAATTGAAGTTAAGCAAAGCGCCTGAATTAATCTAAAAGAGCAAATTAAGTAGATCTCGCCAAAACAGGAAAACACATTTCTATTCAAACCTTGCTACCAACGAGTTGATTGATTTAGTTAAACTACACATGAGATAAAATTAACTTGAACTGACCGAAGATCGTATCAACCCAACCTAATGAAAGACTGAATTACCTCGGCATTCTCAAAAGCGAATTATCCAGCCTCGTTTAACAAAATTATGAAAAATAACCTCGCGTAACCCCCTCCCGACAAAAAGAAACCAGCTTAATGCACAGATGTCCAGCGCAGCTTTTTATGCAAAATCTCCTGAAAGCTTCAGGCCAGACTGATACAAAAAGTGAATTCTGCGGATTTCCCGAGAAAGAATCCCAACACGGAATACCCGCCTGTTTCCCACATCAGAAAAAAGTTTCGAACGGCAACGTTCAGGCCATTAATTTCATCCACAACGAACTCGACGCGCACGCCTTGAAGTCGGGCCACTGAAGAGCAAAAACCCAACCTTTCCGGTACTTCGCACAAAAACGTGAACAGTCACGGTGCGTTAGCATGAAACCGAGGAATTCTTCATCTCCTTCGAGGCCACAAACAAAATTCCGCTGCGAGCACGACTTTTTTTCTTCTTCTTCTTCTTCTTCCCTTGTGTTTTTCGCATGCCGGAGAAACGACACGGGGTTAACTGAGGGAGTTCAAGACAAACTGACGATCTTGAAAGACTCGGTTGACCTTCGTCTCGCTGCCCTGATGAAACCGATAAAAAAAGAGAGCCTGGGTTCGACGGTCGGGAACATTTCAGCAATAACCCCCCCACTCCCGCAAGTTCATTCATTTGGACGCATTTTTCAACCGGTCCCATTGGAGCAACATCTAGGTGTACGTCCCATCCAGTCGAAAACTGGTCGTCTCCGCTTGATGTGGATGTAGTATGCACCGTCGAAAATTATTTTAAAACCCCAATTGAATGATAACCACTGAGATGACGAAAATAATATACAAACGGGCATGACAGAGCAAACGGCGAGTGAGTGAATCAGGAAATGGTGGCATGAAAAAAGTCATGCGCTGACAATGCTGGTGGAAAAATTACAATGAACAGCATTGTAAAGGCGAAATTCAATGGAAAAATGGAAAAAAATAATCGTCCAGTAATGTGGAGAGAAAAAACAAGTCCGGGACGAGTTGAATTGAAGGATGAAAACGACTCCCTTATAACCTTCACAAATGAATCACTACAGGGGAAAACAACAAGAAAGGGACTCGGAATTCATTTTGAAGACCATCGTTGATGTGGTTTGAACCTGGGAATATTATTACAGTACTGTCGACAATAGTTTTTACTTTGGATTAGATAATCCCATCATGGAAGAATGAATATGTATTTCAGGGGATAAGGAATCTTCTCTCTCCTTAAATTTTCCATCGTCAGCATTTTCTCTCCGGGGAATATCTCCATTTCGACATTTTGCCCTAACTTCCCGAAATGGCATTTAAAACCACAAATGAAAGCATGTGCTGCACCAATTTAATCAATCGGCTTTACAGTACACCTTGGTAATCTTTATTTTTTTCCGGGGTCTGATTTCATGTGGACATTACTTGGTGAATTCATGATTGAGATTTATTTAATATTCCACACATTACAGGTAGACATTTTTCAACTATTGCATTCCTCAGTTGCGGATTATATTTTATTGACGCCAACTTTTTAAGTAGCACATACGAGTTACAGGTATGTATCTTATGTAATACATTTGCATGATTCAGGAAAAAAAAACAGCAAGGGTTCGCATGAGACTTACAACAATCTCATCCGACTTGAAGTGCCATGGGAAAATGAGAAACCTTCAGGATGTTTTGCCAACTGAGACAAACCCGTGGGAGGAGATGACGTGATGCTGACGAACCGGAAGTAAGATGAAGCGGATCCCACCAAATGAAAACGCTTCGGCGAAGAAATACGTTCCACGCCATTTCTGACGAAAACAAACACTTGATCGAAAACATGCCGATGAATTAATCTCGTTTTCAATCACTAAATTTGTTTAGCCACCTACGTCAAGATTTCTTTGATGCAATTTCATTTTCAATCTTAGTTTTACAGCATTTCGATTTTTTTAGCAACCTGCGTCAAGATTTGATTGATGGAATTTTATTTTCCAAGAAAATTATTCCACTCTTCTCGCCGATATATTCGCGCGTACAGTTCGATCGAATTTTTTTTTCTTATTTTGGAGCCTTATTGAAGTGAATCTGATTTTCTATGCATTTCTCTTTGTTAAATAAGATAATCCTATAAAATAAATGAAATATGACTATGAAATCATTTTTGCGGAAATGAATAAAAGCATGCATTCACGAGCTTTCAAACTCTTGCGTTTGTATCATATTCGTCACAAGTACGGTATTTGTTCGAGTTGCATAAGCAGGAACTTGAAATCGACTTGTACTACAGTCAAGCATCAAGAATTGAGTAAAATACATTTTCGTAAAAGAAGAAACGACGAAATTTGTCCTTGCATGTTCAAAAATCCATCCAGTAGCTTCACGCTGTGCTTATTAGATTGATATATTTTAATTTGGACTTCTAAAAATAGATTTGAATGCATCATTCAAACAGCACTTGAACTTCATCCTGGGATGAAATTCTTGCAGAAAATCCCCGAAATGGTTTACGTTGACTTTTTCTTTCAGTGATAAATTATGAACTTCCGAACCTTTGTGACCTGAAAATTTTCGGCAGATCCACAGGATAAATGCTGATAACTAGACACTTGACCTAAATGTCGAAGCTATGTTTCTTGAGTGCTCTTCTAATTTCCTGAATCGGAAATATGTCAAGAGGATTTCCGTATTCCATGACCTTCGAAAATACCACGGCTTAGCAAACAGCACGTTTAGCTTATCCAATGCCCGATTTTTCAAACAGAAGCTTCCAGTTCTTGTAAATACGTGATGTCAAATTTTGGAATTTCCCTGTGTTTGGAAACCGGCCATTTGAAATTTTAAAAACTTCAATTATATAGCTTTTGACGAATTGGAGTTTTGAAGTTGCTGAAAAAAACGTATAAATCGTGACCGCACGCCATTTTTTCTAGATGAAATGTTTGTCGTAAAGATTTGAAGAGAAACATTTTACTCTAAGGCAAGACATAGTCTAAGATTCTAAACAGAGGCTGGTCAAAATATCACACACAGTTGATGCAAAACACTTGAAGAAATATTAAATTTTCTTGGCACGAAAACGACGAATACAAGATACGATTATCTCCGTTCGTTTCGTTAAGCGGGATCGTCAAGAGTTCATATCCAGTCGCATGTAACCTCAATGAAGAAAGATAAATTGTTACCGAATTTGAGTGGTTGTTTGCGGCACGAGATTTCATGCTTGTTGGGGGTGCGTATTCTTATCTATCTTCTCAATTGAATGTCGCTGAAACACTCAATTTTTCTTCGAAACCTCTAGAAGTTTTTAGCTGCGTATAGGACGCAGCATTCATCAAGGAAAAATCGAGCTCCCCAAGGTGAAAGCCGCTGAGAAGGTCGAATGATTTTTTTTCGAAATTAATATTGCTCGCCGAATTTGCTCGAAATCAAATTTAAAAAAACAGGCATGTGAGAAATATTAGAATTTTAATTACCTACAAGGTAGACCGTAAGCCTTATAGAAGTGAGGATAGTGATTTCCTTCGAAATCTTGCATTTGAAAATCAGTAAAAAGGTAAAATTCATTACAAGCACTTCAAAATTATGATTTTTCATGCATCGGATGAATCAGCACTCCGGTCATTGAATTACCACTTACAAATCTTTCTACCTCTTATATTTTTCTCTTATGAGTATGTAAGTTTTTTTTTACTTTGAGAAGTTCATATCTTGCACTGAAATAAATTTTGTCCAAAACAGATAAAAAATTGAACGAGATATGCGAACTTCGAAACTACGTCCAATGAATGTCGAAGGGAAATATATGTGGCATTTTTTGGGAGAGCTTCTAAATAGTTATGGACCTGTAAGTCATTCCGATGTACAGAATAGTACATGGCAAAAAAAAGAAATCATTGTAAGCTTATTGAAATTTAACAAGAATTTCACCTCGTTGTTTCAAAGCGATATAAACAATTCTTGAATTTGAAATGTTCCTTTGTTTCTGGCATTCACATTCATAAAAAAAGATATCATATAATTTAAATATGCCTGCTAGCTTCTGTAAAAACACGGCATAATCGAGCCACGTGTGCATGTCCGTCACATGGAAAGGAAACTACTGTAAATTCGCAGCCTAATGACGAGAAGAGCCCACATGTGGCGAACCTGGGTGTGACAGAAGAATGTTGTCCTGCCCAGATCCTCACCAGGGGTTTCAAGAAATATTTTTTCATCGCATTTCAGGTTTTCTGCTCGTTTTCGCGGAGAAAAACTAAGCCGCGTGTGCGGCTTTCCTGAAAACATATTATTCGGGAGTATTTTGTGCGGGATATGTACCATGATACTACGATATATCACCTAAGAGGCGCCCAGCAGACGTTGACGTAAAGGAGATTTTTATTGCCTCGAAAAGAGAAGATTGCGGATCTGCAATCCCGACTTTTTGTTTGCCCAGCATCAACGTCGATAGCGAGACATCGTTATGACATCTTCAAGTTCTGCTGCAAGCATATTAGTCGCTGAATTAAACTTGAAATGAG